ATGTTTGCAGACAAACGCCTGCTTCGTGCGTATGAAGATCACCGTTCCGTGCAGCAGTTCTCACGCCTATGCTCCCTGAATCGTGCTACACTGTAAGCGTGTGAAGCTGTTACCTCACCATTTGGTTAGGATACTACAATCAATTCAAAAACTGACAGCAGTGTACTGATCGGATGAGTAGCTGCAGTAATCAGCAGTCCAGAACTCCACTTGCTAATTTCTCCTCTTTTATAACATCGATCTTTCATCAGTAAATTGGATATAGTTCCTACCTGCGCCTCCTAAGAGCTCAGACATTTAACTCTGTAGCCTTTCATACCTTAAGGTAAAATCAGCAAGCTTGGGAATCAGCTGGGTCATTCAAACAGCAGACTATGAGCACAGATTCAGCTTGTCAAAAAGTTACTGTGATACACACAGGTTGCACACAAGGTTTTATTTTAGATGAAATTAAAGCAAAAATGCACTTTAACTACAAAAAAAAAAAAAAAGCTGTCTGAAAGCTGTCTTCCTCATAGTCCTGACACTGCATTTTAGCCAACTGTTCAGAATTAGACAAATGAACACGAGAGAATTCTGCTTCCGTGAAGGATTTCACAAAGGAACAATGCAGAAGTAACTCCAGATGTGGTAAAACACAAACAAATAAACAACCCCCATAAAACTTACTGCAAAACAGAACTCATAAATAATTTAAAATTTTATTTTCTTTTAACCTCTTCAGCCTCTTTAGATCAATTGCCCATTCTTCAGGCATTATTTCTCTGATCACAGGTTACCAGATGGGACTCCTGACAGGAAGATGCATTTAAACTAAAACAACACTGGGAAAAACAAAAACAAGCCTGCAGTGAGATGCCACCACTCCATGCATGTGTGAATCAAACAAAGAGGGAAAACGCTGTGTGCTCATAGACACTCCTGATTAACCACTTTAGCTGCTTATGTTCAAACAGCGCGGGCGCCTAAGGAGCGTGCAGATTCGCCACACATCACCACCAAAACGTAAGAAAAATTTCCAACACTGTTGGATCCCTGCACTCCACTAAATTTGGGTGGTGTTCTTTGCAATGCAGCTTGGAAGAAAGAACAGATGGGGAGAATTTTCAATTGCCCTCATGGTAAGCATATGGTTACCATTTTAAATCAGACACATTTTCTACACTATTCTCTCTTCTCTTATGCTCTATGCCAACAACATCAGCGATGTTCACTTTCAAGCCGACGATGATTCATCACAAGGTTATCTGCAGCCAGCCCTGCACAATTAACAGAGGTTGTTTACTTCTGTAAATAGAGCGCTGGCTTTTGCAGGTCCATTACACTGTGTTCCCTTTTTCTTCTTTTTCCCTTAAAAAGCCCAATCTGCCAGGAGGATGGCTGAATAGCCCCTTTGTCCCAGATCCCCGAGCAGCTCCGCAGCTCTGTTTGTTTCCACGGGCAGCGCACAGCGGCCGGGCAATGAGCTGGAGGAGGAGGATGCTGCCTGAGCTTTCACCCGGCAGACCCACCATGAGCAACTAATCCGCTGCCAGAGCAGCTGCCCTCATTAACCGGCTCTGGAGCCGCGGAGCCCTTGCCCAAGCCGCTGTTCGCAGCCCTGCCCCCCCCACCCCCGCCCTCCTCGCCGAAACGCGCGGTGCCCCCAGCCTGACAGCAACGAGCGGGCACTTGGCGAAGCGGGCGCGCCTACGGGACACCCGCGGAAGCGAATTGAAGCCCGAGAGAAGCCCTCGCGGGCCGTAGGGCCGAGGCAGAGCCGGGGGAGCGCCCCCAGCCCCCGGCCGGGCCGCGCCGGGGCCCCGCGGCCGCCTCACCTCGCTCCAGCCGCACCGGCTCGCCCAGCGCCGCCATCTTGTCCTCGCCGCGGCCCCGCAGGAAGTGACGCGGCTGCCGGAAGCGCGGCCGTTGCTAAGGGAGGTGGCGGGGTCGGGGCCTGGGGGGCGCCCCCAGCTGCCAGGCTCAGCCCCACAGGCGCGGGGCCGCAGCGCCATGAGGGCTGGGTGAGCCCTCCCAGCTCGTCTGGTCACACCAGTGTCACACACCAAACACGTCCCCAAGCACCACGTCCCTAAACACCACGACCCCAAACACCATGTCCCTAAACACCATGTCCCCAAGCACCACATCCCCAAACACCACGTCCCTAAACACCACGTCCCCAAGCACCACGTCTCCAAGCACCACGTCTCCAAACACCACATCCCTAAACACCATGTCCCTAAACACCACATCTCCAAGCACCACGTCCAGCCCTTCCTTGAACACCCCCAGGGATGGGGACTCCACCACCTCCATGGTTCTGCCCCTGCCCGCTGCATGGCTGCGGTTTGCTGCCCTAAAAGCAGAGGTCCCTCAGGCCTCGCAATGTCAGTGAATACGGCAGTGGTGTGAGCCCTGTAATTCATGTTAATGGCAGGTGCCCTTGGTGTGAAGGCTGCCACGTGCGTGTTTCCATGAAAGGGTGGCGCGAATGGAATTCTGCAGGTGAACAGGACTAACTCCTCGCAGGCTTGTTTCCTGCAAGAAGTGTTTTAGCAGCTGGGACTGTGGAATGTTTCTGGAATAAAACCCAGATGTTTCTGTCACAGGGGTGCAGAAACCACCACGCAGCTACAAGTGATTGAAACTTTAAATAGCTAGCTCTGACTTTGGACAGATAAACCCATGGAGAAAATACGAGTGCTAAACAGTATTTCAAAAACAGCATTTTTCCAAAAAGATGTCTGGTAAGAATACATGTTTGGATGCATATTTAATTTGGCATTATTTTGACTTTAGTAAAGACTGAAGATTCAGAAATTCAGGCAGTTGCTTTAACTTTCCTCTAGACCTAGCAAGTGACAAGGGATTCAGACTTCTGTGGTCTAAAACAAGACATGTGAATAAGGAAATATGAACAGCAAATTTTATGTAGTGCTTCTGCTGTCTACTTCATAACACCGTCAAGCTTAAACCATATTGCTCTAGGATTTTGCACTGATTTATACACATAGGAAAAAAAAGCAAAAGAACAGAAGTTTTAATTTTTATTTTGTGATCTATGAAGAGTGCCAATGATGTACTACTTACTTACTTTTGTTTGCTCTTTCTCTGGTTATCTTTTACTTGAGAAAGCTAGGTGTTTTCTCCACCAAAATTCCCATGTAGTAGGAAAACGAGTTGGGTTATAATCTTACACAAGAATGGAAAAGAAGCAGTTGAGGTAGTGTCTTAGTCTTTTTTGTGTTTGCTTTTTCATAGCTCCTACTGAACTCAACCAAGTGAAAAATATCTGAGAGAGAAAACTTGTATTAAAAAAAAAAAAAAAAAAAAAAAAAAAAAAAAAGGCAAGCTAAAAGTTAGCATGTGAACCTTTTCTGTGTTTTTCAGTAGTGCCAAAGAATGACAGGCTTGATATCTTGATGTTCTGGTGGAAGAAGAAATGGAATGCCAGTGGAGGACCACAAAGAGGGGAGGAAAATAAAGCTTCAGATTATTAGAGTATACAGGAAAATAAAAGGATGCATACCCACTTGCTTGCTTTTTCCTTTCTGAGGCAGCATTTTAGCACAGTGTTCTATTTTGGCAGTGAGGCCTAAATTACAAAGCTAGGCATTAGTATGACGGAGGTATTTTAGTGCATGTTTGTCTTTGAAAAGAGCAAGATGCATTTGAATCAAAGAAATACCCACTACGTAAGTCAGAATACCTTCCACTCCTGGCCATCTCCCCTCCCCTTCTCCCCCCCTCCCCCCCCCCCAAAAAAAAAAAAAAAAAAAAAAAGTGGGGGAAGGGAGTGAATTGCTGAGTCTTTAGCAAGCTATATTTTTCTCAAGAGAAATTAAAAGCATAGGTGGATGCTGGCAGATTCTGCATTAACAAGACGTACTATTCATGCCACCCTAGGAAATCCTTATTCTGGTAAGCTTCTGGAAGAAAAAAAGGTCCCAGAAGTGATTCTCAAACAGCAAGGGTCTGCGCCTCCTGAATAACTAGGAAAATGCATTTGCACAGTAGTGGCTGAGGAGTATGGAAGACCTAAACATTAAACTTCAATTGATGTATTTTGCTAACTATAATGAAATTATTAGTCTAGACCCCACTGTCTATGTCACTCAAGCTTGTGAAATCTTGTACCAGAGTTACTTTACTTCTGCTGTCATTGATGAATTCGCCTAGGTGTTAGCATATGTCAGCAGGCCTCCTGGGAGCAAGCACATCCTGCAGGCCTTTTATGTATGCAGTAACACTACTGTTGAAGGACTATCAATAATCAAGCAATATAGCCTAAGTCCTCATTGGAAAACAGTTGCATTAGCAGTCCAAAAGAAAATGGAAATCAGTCTCCAGTTTAAGCTAACTTGGAATAAATGCACAGCTTATTTTAGGTGAGAGGTTTTAGTGTGTAAGAAGTTAATCCATACCTGAGTAAGATAAGCCTTCTTTATAAATTAATTAGTAAGGTCATAATATTTTTATAACAGTGTCTAACAGACAGTCCTATTCTATTCAAGACATTAGACATAGGTGGATAGGGAATGCAAATATGATGGAATATGCTCTGTGACTAGCTAGGGGAAATGCAGGAATATGAGTGGTTCAAGAAACTGTGTTCACTGTATTTCAGGATTCTGCTCAGCTGCAAAGGTTCAGGCTGAAGAGTCTCAAAAGAAAGAGACACTATTTAAAACTGTGCAAGAGGTCATTCCCATGAATATCTCTTACATGAACTTTTTTTTATGCAAGGGCAGCTTCAGTTGGTTTATCTTCATTTACCTTTAGCTTATACGTGCTAAATCAAAAAAGCCATCAGAAAAATAAGAAAATGCACATGGATTAGAGATAGCTTTGTCTTATTACAATTCTACCAGTGAGTAAATTATGCCTTAGTTATATTGGAAAGTTACTTTCCATGTGTATAGACCTATGCATGTGCATAGGTGTGCTTGTGTTAACAGGACCAGTCCTTAGTGGTCTTGTAGCTAGGCAGCATTCTCCTTCTCATCCTGCTGATATAAACTGAGTCACAAGGAGGGACTCTAAGATTGCTTAGATGCCACAGAAAGCATTAGAGAACAGTTTTTTAAAATCTTGTAATCCCAATAACAACTTCAGAAATCCAACAGGTCTAATTTGTGCATTGCTTTAATGCACAGATGATACAAATAACATACCTATAGCATTTATGCACGTATTTCAAATGCACATGGTCAATGATGATCTCAAAGTACTAGCATTATTAAGCAAATGTTATATCCAAACTGAAAGTGTATTTTCTTAAATAGCTACCTACATAATCGCTACAGAAAGTACATTATGTGTCCAGTTGCCTTTAAGGGGGAAATGGCAATCATGTAACACCAATGTACATGTACACCAATGCGGAGAGAAAAAAAATAGCTAGAAATGGGTATCAGGACACAGCATGTGCTTAGGAAAATTGCAGAAGTATCTGACGTTCACAAAAAAAAAATATGTCTGCCTTGGAAACCTGACAGGCACAATTAACCACAACTTTTATTTATGATTCGGGGCAGTGAAGAGAGTGCAAATTCAATTTTTAGGTTATTAAGACATTGCGTTGCCTCAGGACTACCATGTTGGTAGAATTTTATTGCTTTAATACCACTGAATTTAATTACTTTAAGTCCTTGACAGTTGCATTAGTATTTGCAATTTCAGCAGTACTTTGATTCATTGGCCTAGTCCAGAGTGAGTTTCATGGTCTGCCACACACGGTGATTGATTGCTGCTGTCCCTGTCAAAATTCAGTGGTTCATACATATTGAAGAACCTGGTACCTTTTCGGTCATGCACATGCTTACCATTTTTTCAGTCTTCACATGACAGAACAGATTTTTGCTTTGTTACCTATTACAAAGTATGCATTTTGATTATTCCCTCACCCACTGGTTGATTAACATGTAGACAGAGCCCAGCATTTTGGCAAGTGCCACCTAATCTCCACGCCAATTACTTTTTCCACATAAAACTTGACTGCATGAGTTGTCTCAGAATTTTGCTAGTCACTCCTGGAAAATGTGGGAGCATATATGAGACATATAAGAAAGCCCTGTCTGTTATTCTGCTTTTTGGAAAATTTGTCTTTTTCATTCCCTCCTGGCCTCGTCTGTAGATGAAAATGTTATTTACATTTTCAAATGTTGACTGAGGAAGCAGAGTCAAACTGAAAAGTCAATAATGTGTCTAGATGATAATTAACATTAATACTCCAAAACAAATACTATTTTTTTTCCTCTCCAGAGGAAGGTACTTGATCTTGCAGATGTTCCTTCTTAGTAAAACATAAAGTAGCTGTGAAAGGCCTCATACAGATAGGACAAACTTACCCTGTTGTGTGATGCATTAAGCATACATTGTACCGCACCGCTTCACAGGAACCCCTTCACCATTACTTCTTAAGGACAGCAGACTTCTGTCTACTAAATTCATCTGTGACAGAAAAACAAAACCTTGTCTTTTTTGTGTTTTCTTTAGCGGTCTATACAAATCAAAAACTCCTTTCAAGCACTAACATGACAGAATTTACCACTTCCCATATGCAAGTGGTGATGGGGCAGTAATTAAGCTGGCACACCTACACGCACGTTTTCTGCGGTATGCAACTGAAATCGTCCAGGGAACGAAATTGTGCTGATCAGCAAATTTCAGCTGAAACACAAACTGTTTAACTTCAGCTTAGATGGGACAGGCAGGTTTTTAAGAAAACTGCTATCAGGTTGCGTTATTCTGTGCAGTCATAGAGTTAAGACTGTGCTAGCAACATATGCCTGCCTTTCAAGAGCTTTGCTTAGTGTCCTTTTAAAGTACCGTACAAGAAAAAGTGATGGGCAAACAGATGGCAACATTAGAAACGTCTCATTTCACTTTATAAAAAGTTACTCGAACCCTTAAAGATTTGAGCGTACTTTAAAAAAGAACGAGCGTTGAACTAAAACTACCCAAAATAGACTTGGCAGAACAACCTTTTGAAACAAGAAAATAAACATGCTGAGGCTCCCTCGGCTTTCATCACTGGCAGCAACGTGTGCCCTCAGCCTGTGGGAAGGGTGGTCAAAAGAAGAATCTCTGCCTCTGCAGCATGCTCTTCTTCTCACTTCAGCTTGGCAAGGCTTTCTGAGTAGGAAAGGGGTGAAAGCTGCAAATTCACTGTGTGTCCTGCACAAATACAGGCGTGAGTTAACAGTGAATTCCAGGGATCAGCTTTTATTGAATTTAGACTGTGCTGTAAGGGAGTAGGCCATAGTTTCCCCCTAAAATGTAATAAAAATGTCTACAAAGCCTTTAATAAAGAGACTAAAGAGACTTAAGGAAAACTTTCCAGATCCCAATTACCACAATAAATATATAAGCATACCTGCAAAATAATCATGGCAAAATATTTTTATGACATATTAGACAAACACTGGTAATATGTAATGCTTAAAATGTTTTATAAAACAGAGTAGATATCTATGTCGTTGAAGCTTAATGTATTTTTTCTACGGTATGTATAAAGATTTTCTTCTTTACAGAAGAAAAGAACTGAGGAGGAACCTCAGCTCACTAGAGTTATGTGAAATCTTACATTGTACATCTTCATCAGGAAATATAAAGTTTGCTATTTCACATCTTTTGAGAATAGCTATCCTGAGCAGATGAACTGTTATGATCAGCAAAGGGTCACAGTACAGAATAAGCATCTGTGCAGTTCAGGACCTTGTAAGCATCCAAACTGGAATTTAATTTCACCTTTTGGCTCTTTTCCCTGCATTGTGGTAATTTCTCTGCTGTCTCAGGCTACATCTGAGGCCTTTGGTGACTCTGGTGCTCTTTGACTAGTTCTTCTGCCACGCACCATTTCTCTGGGTACCTCTAGATGAACCATCTCCGAACGAACTTCTCTGGGATGGGAAAAGTCTCCAGAAAATACTGGTTTGACTCCTAAGACCAGAAAGTGTGCTGTTACATCCTGTGTACTAGACACGGAGTACAGCTCTGCGTAACTCATTAAATGTGTCCCATTGACCTAAGTGGGAGTTGGACTAAACCCCAGCAGATCGTTCAAGTTCCTTAAGGTGGTTCTCGCTCTCCTTTTGTGCAAATGAGACAATTTGAATACGATTAAGATATCTATTTGGGACTGAAGAGCAGATGGATTTGGCTGTGTGCTATGTAATAAATTTCTGGCTTTGTAAAGAGATTTTTTTTGTGAAATGCTTTTGACCAAAAAAATATTTATAAGTACCATTTCTCAAAGGTCTGATTGTAGAAAAATGGATACAAACTGCTAACATAACATTGAAGTGAAATTACTGTCAAACTATTTATGCTTGCAAAAACGCGTCCACCATTTCGGATCTCCAGCAGATTGTCTAGCTCCACATAATGAAGTCCTTTTGCACAGAAAATAATGCAAGTCTCAAAGATGTTGACTGTGTTTTTAGTAATACCACTGAAACGTAATGAGCTCCAATAAGTGTTCTAACACATCACTGCACTTTTAAAGCTCAGAGATAAGCATTTAATGTGTAAATGTGTAACTTCCCTTTAAAACATTCAGATGTTAAAACATTATCTTTCTGTAGACTTGCATAGGGCCAGAGGACTTGTTGATGAAGCTCTATGTAGTCTTCCTTTCTCCAAGGGTCTGGCTCATTGGTATCTATCGCTGCAGGAGCGACATAAACAGGGTTTATGTTCCTGTACCAATAGGACTGGATCACTCCAACCAGGTATCAGATAGGTATGCTGCCTCTTTGCATGGACAGTGTGCTATATACCATTAGTATATTATCTGCATATCAATAAAGAATTTCAGAATTACTTTCTGTATTTTCAAGAACATATATTGATTATGTCCTAAAATGGAGTCTTTAGCCAGTCTTTCCTCTCCCCATCAAAAGTGCCAACCTGTACTACAGTACTATAGGTAGATTAATTTTGTTTTGGTAAAGTATCTATTTTATCATCTTTATGAAGCCAGTGAATTTGACTAATGTTAACTAGACTACATTAGTAGTATCTAACTGTTATAAGCCTGAACAGAAGTAATATGATCACCTCCCATATTCTTTGATCATGTTATTCTGTTTTCTAATCTTGCAAATATTCTCAAGAGGAATTACTCACATGCATAAAATAACCTCATATTCTTTAATGTTTTCATGCTTGGGCCCCAGCTTACAATATAATTTATATTAAAATTGTTTCTGGGTGTAAAAGCCTGCTAATTATTCCAGATTCTGCGTTTAGTAATGCATTTTGAATGGAGAAATATGTCTTATTTGTCCAATTTTATCTTTTCCTGTTTCCTCCTGATCTGCTTTGAAGTTACACATATGGGGAGAGCATTATGCACATGGGGAAATATTTGGTAATTTGGTGATAAAAGTGCTCTTCATGCTCAAGGAATAAAGGATTACAACTGATTTGACATTTTATTTTTTATGGTTTTGGTTAAACAGCGGAAGAAGTGATTCAATTCGTAATATGATTTGTGAAGCTGTACTTTAGTAGTAAGTACAGAATGAAATTTGAAACATTCATTTTTTTTTTTTTGCATGTGTACATTGTAGTAACAGGGGAGTTTAGTTTTCTTAAAGTGTACTTCCTTGTGTTTTACATTTCAGCTGAAGGACTGAAATTAAATTTGTGTAGGAAGCCAATAAAAGGGGTTTATGAATACATTCAACTGCTACTTCTTTTCAGCCTAAGACAAAGTGAATTTCCATGACAGCTTGTAAATTCATGGAATTTAGAACTTCACTTAAAACCAAAAACACATGAATGACGAAGGAACCTAGAGTACAGCTGCAGGAGACTTAGGCACTTCTGAAACATTTTAATGTTTTTCTGCACCTTTGAACTGAAATACTTTATCCGGAGTGGCATGTTAGTGTTTACAGACTGGGATTGTGTTCCCTAAGTCCTGTTTGTTCTGTGGTTTCAGTGATGCTTGCCCCACAGGTTTTAGCCTTGCAATTCAGTGAAAATATTTCTGTATGAAATTGGCCTTCTGAGGAGCACCCACATAAAAAGTATCAGCAATAACAAGCTGAAAGTCAAATTCTAATACCAGAAACTGAGAGATGAGTTCCTCTAATAGCAAGAAAACTACATTCCTTCAACCTTTGTAAAAACAAACCACAATAACAAACAAAGAAAAAAAACACTTAACTCCGGTGTCTCTTGCTCTGTCAAACATTAAAATCAATGATTTGTAACAGATGGAAACAAAGACTGCTTGGATGATTAGGGGAAGGAAAAGCCTAACTTAACAAGGAGCAGGGAAAAGAGCACTACTTTCTTTGAGTGTATACCGGGGGGTCAAGGGAGGGAAATCTTACTGTGACAACAAATACATGCAAATTAGCCAGTACTAAAGTTAAGAATTAGGAACAATTTCTCTGTCCTTACTGAAATCTGATTCTGAATAAGCTTTGAAGTTGAAACAGGAGAGGGGAAAAACCAACCAACCAAGAAACAAAACAAAAACAACAAAACCAAACCAAAACAAACAAAAAACACACAGAAACAGGCCTTTACAAGAAAAATCAGCTCACTTATGAGAAGGGTTAAGACATGGTTCCTGAAATAGCAAGAGATTGCATTTCCTGATCCACGTGCAAGACCACTACACCTTTGGAGACAGCTGCATCATGCATCATTTTTGTCTCTACAACTTTTGTGCTACACTTCGTGTAGCACAGTGTGACAGGTGGGCTCTCAAAAGCAGCAAACCCATTGCCACTGTCACTACCAAGTGGTAATGCTTCCCTTGCTCTCTGCAGAGCAGAAAGCATCAGTAATGGTAATCACATGCTTTCTTTCCTTCTTCATCATAACCTCAGTTCTGGCAAATCAAATTTGATTTACCACACTATCCATTTTTCTCTAGGATGAATTATTTTGTGCCTGTATTTCTGCAGCTGCTAGAAGTGATCTGGGAGAAAAACCTTTCCCACGGTAAGGCAGGAGTGCTTGCAGCTCCAGTGCAAGCACTTCCCGTAGCCCTGTTGTACTTCTGAAAGAAAGCGTGTTGCAGGCTCTCTTTGGCATCTTCCTCTCCTGACAAAAAGCCTCAGAGCTAATACTTCCAAGGCTCATAAACATCAGCCTCACTTTCACTCATAGTTTCCCTTTCTCCTTGCAGGACAAGAGATAAAATAGTTAGTTGTTCACCTCAGAAAATCTATCTTCTGCCTTGGAGATTTTGGCTTTCCATTGGATACACTTTCTTTTTAAGTTACATAAGTCTCCAGCAGATAGGTCCTCAAGACTTGGTACCTGCATTTTAATTCTACTTTTTGTGACTTCAGAGCTTCTTGTCTGTCCTGCCTTGTCAACATTCAGTTCCAGTATTTTCAAACAAATTTCCAGCACTTTCTGTGGGAAGCTGCTCTAGAAGCTTTCGAACACCAAGCCTTACCTTCATCCACAAGCAGTTGAGCTTTACTACATGAGCCATGGCAGAGCAGGAGTGGGTACGCCCAGCAAGGCAAAGACCTCTACAAGGGAACAGACACAAGGCCATTTAGTCTTATTCTCTTCATCAAATAGGAAAGAATTTACATGTACTTGTATATTTACCTAATCCTAGCTACAACACTCTACAGGGTACAATGCAACTGTCTCTGTCAAATTATATAACTACTTAGTTTGAAAATAATTATCTATACAGTCTCATCAATACGATATAAATACCCTTACAAAAATAGTCTTTCATGTCTCTTCTTTTTAAAACGACCTTGAAATACAAGAGTCCATTGAAATTAATACTATTTTTTATTCTTCAGAAAGACCTATGTGAACTGACATTTCAAACTTGTCATGTTGTCTGGTTTTGGCTTACACGGTTAGAAAGTGAACTTTATGAAAACATCTAGAAATTCCTTGCATACCAAGTAAATATACTAAAAAAGTAAGGAAGCAAATTATAGTAAAGTGTTTTTTTTTAAGAACACAAAGGAAAATAAACATGATGAAAATGAAAAAAACAGCAAGCAGATGAGCAGACCTGGAATCTTGAATAGATATGGGATCCAAAGATAATCCCCTCTCTATAATTGTTTTGGCAAACACACAGGATGAATTTACATAGAGAAACCCTGATGAGATCCAGGCTTTATCCCCTTTACTCAGGTGTTGTGACGACAAATACGGGGGACTGGTGTCGCAGTAAAATAAAATAGGGAAAATAAAAAGCTCTCTCTTAACTATGCAGGGAGGGCTACGAGTAACTTTCATCTCATTCCTGTGCTCCTATAATTTATGGTAGTTCAAAAGGAGTACAGCCAGCTCCTGTCCTCTGGAGTGCAAACACACCGCCTCTCCTCCGCGCCCTGCCATTTCTGTTTAGTGAGAAATAAATAGGGATTTTGCAATGAGCCACACAAGAAAACTAGGAAAGAATATTAAACTTGAAGGAGGGCCAGCTAAGGTTGTCCAACTGCTGCTTCTTTCCTCCGCAGCTGAGAGAACTGCATCATTACAGCTAACGCATGCTATTAAAGAACAGCATCAATTTTAGAACACAAGTTTTTTTCACTTTTTTTTTTGTCTCTTTTTTGTTTTTTAACGTGAAAACATCCAACAGCATCTCTCTAAACTCACTCAGTTTGCCTTGTTTTGTAATACAACCTGTTCACTGAGATTGACCTGGTTAATGACGAATGAACCAGCAGCAATCATAAACATCATATTTGTCCATTGAATTTTCCTTTGTTTTCCAGGTGGGAATCTCACAAAGGCAAAAGGCTGCTTTCTACTTATGCTATGCTTGTCTTAGAAAACGCTCAGGGACTTGAGTGGAGAGGATGCGAAAAGTCCTATTTTTCTGCAGGTTACTTGCTGTGCCCAGAGACCTCTCTCTAAAGCTTATCTCCTGAGAAGAAGGGAACTCCTCAGAAAGTTTAATTAAGAATATTTCAATTATATTCATTAGCAGCATGCTTAAATATCTCCTGCTACAGAGACTCTAGATTAAAAAAAAAAAAAAAGTGAGTTAGCTGGAATAAAAAGAGGAAAAATAATATTAAGCATAACCATAGTGGCGAGATTTATTGTTTTGTCTCATTGTGAGAATTGACTCTTTTTAAAGTCAAGACATACTTCAAACATTAAATCTCACCATACATTAACACATACAGAATGCTCTAACACGTAGTGAAACATCCCATTTTCTGAAGGTGTAATAATCCTCAAAATCATCATCCTAAACAGATGGCTGTAAAATATTCCATGATGTCTTTCAGGTGAAAGAGTATTCTTACGCATTAACAACATGTTTTTTATGGGGTGGGTGATGCATGAAGCAGAGCAAGATGAGTCCATCAGTGGCTGGATGCACCAACCCTCTGCTTTGCACAAAGGCAGGACAGAGCCCAAAATACTCAGTGATGTACTTCACTTGTTTCTTTGATTTCATTCTTAAGACAATCAAGGGCAATTCCCTCCTGCTGAGAGAGCTGTGAGGAACACTTTCCTGGAGCACAAAGCCTGAGCAGCTCCTCCTCAGTGATAACACATGCTGGAGCCTAGCTGCGCCAGCTGCTTGTGGCTCAGCTTCTCCCCTTTGTGCAAGCATCTTGAAAAACAACGAGGAATGATGCTTTTTGTCCTCTAGCAAGCTCACCTCCTGGTCTTTTTCTTGTAGTTTTTTTCTCCTGACCTCACCATTAAGTCTGCTCAATTAGAAGTTTCCCCTTCAAATCGGGATTGTTTTTTGCTGCGATGGTGGAAATGCCATGCCAGAGGCACATGCACCTGTACATGAATTGCTGTGGAGGAGAACCACAAGAAGCCCTAGCCCAAGCTATCAACCTCAAGTCCAGCAGCATTGTGCAGATTTCTATAGCCATGCTTTTATTACAGGTTACGTAAGATGTTTCAAATGCCAAAAGAGAGATTACAGGTTTTTTTGGTGGTTAAGTGTGAAGGATTTTCTAGAAGGGGAAAAACCAGACAAACCAGAACCTGTATCTGTCACTCCAGTGAGATCCTGGTGCATTTAGAAGCAAATGCACAGAAGCAGGCTTCAAAAAATAAATAAATAAAGGAACTTAATTAAGAACAACAAAAAAGAAACACAAAGCTTGGCAGTTGATTTTGTTTGCAGCTAAGTGAAACCAAGACATCTAAATTTTTTAATGGCAAGCCAGAATGAAACAGAGATACACCAGGATACCCAGGAGTTGTGTGGCTAGGGAAGTCCCCAGGAGACTTATGCTCAAGTCTCTGCACAGGTGGTGCAAAGCAGGGAAGGAATCTATGGTGTCTGAGGGCAGCATCCTACTCAGCCTCAGAGTTTATTCTAAGGCTCTTCTACTGTCTTTTCTGTAGTTTTCCCTGTCCCTTAAAATGCTTGCGATCTGTTTCAGTGCAGAGTGAAACCAACTGTGAGAATTGCAGGTTTCTGTCCTTCATTTTTCAACAAAAATAACTGGAATAGAGTAATTTGCAGTCTCTGGCTCAATGAATATTGATGCATCTATGCAAAATTAAACAGCTCCATTCAAAGAAAAAAGTAACTATAACATTATTACATAAATCATATGAATATCTATAGCCCCCAACCAGTTCTAGTTCCAAATTAGGATCCTAAATGACCTAGTTCCAGGTGAATAACGTAACCAGGATGTTGCCTGGTCTGGAATGGCTCGATCATTTCCCCTCTTTCTCATACCTCATTTTGACTAGAAATTCTCACTTGAGCCCAGCAGCCTAGCAGTAAACACATTTCTGAGGTGTCTACTCAACGTTTGTTCAATAAAGCATTATTTTTTTCTCATTTACATGCAAAGGTTAATCTACCATTTCTGTTGAGACCCAAGAATCATGCCTAACAAAATGTTCTCCAAACTATTTCTCTTTAAAAGGAAAAATAAAGTCAGTAAGCTAAAGCAGACAAGCTCAGTGTGAAGGTGCAAAAGCAGAAGAGCTAGACAGAGGTAGAGAAAGAAATCAACAATTCTACTCTGTGTTCCCAGTAACTGTTAACATTTCTTTAAAGACCATGCTTTCCTAAATCCCTGTCAGCCAGGTGCCTGGAATTGAACTACTCACGTGACAGAGGATGGGACCCCACATGTACGATCCCAGGGAGCACTAAAACCATCTCTAACTTACTTCCAGGAGCTTTCTGTGTATTTTTCTAAATAAGACTGACAGTTCACACATCTGACCCTCTCACAAGTCAGTTTCTCACAATATGCTTTTTTCTCTGTCATAATATACTTCCCTTCCCCCACTCTCCACCCTCTCCAAGTCTCTCCTACCTGGCTTTGGTGCTAACCACAGCCTTATTTTTGATTCTAGTATCTGTAACACTAGGCTATTCCAAAACCACAGGTAAGAAAGATTAGCTAAAACTCTGACTATTTGTGTCCCCAGGAATAGGAAGTCTGAAAGCATCAAATCAACTCTCAAGTAATTCTGACTGCTATAATTTTGGTTTTATGCAACAGCTTTATAGGAAATTCTCTAAACACAAATGAATTGCCACCTGCCTTCCACTTTTAGTGTTTTCTGCTAAGGACATCTGAGGAAATCCTCTGTCCATGCCTGAATACAGCACTATTTTGGAAGGGAATATGGAAAAAAAATAATAATGTATCTGAAAGTATACAAGAGACTGCATTTAAACACCTGAGCTGAAATTCAGCAATGTAGTATCTGTTGCTAGTCTTAAAAGAAAACAAACAAAAGTTCAACGTTGATGGGAATCGGAAGGATAATTAACATTTACTTAATAAAAGACATATCCTTATTTAAGACAGTACAGGAAAAATAAACTGGGTTTGTTGGAATAGCCAGCTACGTTTCTATCTCTGTTTTAAGAAAAACTTTCACAGTCTTGTCTCGTTACTCTTGTTTTCTAGGTGAGTAACCAGACTGCTGAGGTGCATTTACCCATTGCCAGTGTGAGCAGCTCATCTTTCTTGCCTCTGACCAGGGCCAGAGTGTCCCTGTGGGCACCAGCACGCGTGCCCGTGTGTTTTGGCTGAAGGCTCCCCTGCCACAGCGTGTCCCTGCCTCCGCATGGTTACCTAACACGGCATCCCCAGAAACTTGGTCATCATCGCTTGTCTTGCCCTGCATGGCTTAGTATCGAGTGACTAAGCACCGCTCTCTGCCACCCACTGGCATATTTTTTGCGTTATATACCACATTGCAAAACCTCCACTAGCTTCATCTCTTTCAGCGAGGTGAGGAACGAGCCCGCCCCACATCATTACCCAGCACATGCTCGATCTTATCAGGGAACAGCCTGAGGAAACGCTCAGTGAACCAAGACCATGGGGGGACCATGGTTAGGAGAGGCTGCCGTGTGAGCAGCAAGGCATGGGGCAAGCAGCAGAACCTCCTGGAGCTTCTCCAGGGCCTGGTGGCCAAGCTGCTGGTGCTCCATGGGGCAAGGGGAGGCAGGCACTGCTCCCTCACACCGTGCTGCCCCTCAGGGCCCAGGCACAGCTTTAGCAGTGGTTCAGGCCGAGCAGGCATCCATCTTGTGCTGGCAGGCAGGCAGGGTGCTCTGATTGATGGCTCTCCGGGGCTCGTCTGTACTAACTCTGAGGTTAAAATAAGCAGATCGAGTTGCCTAAAAGGAGAGAGTGTAAACACTCATTGGAGGTTTCTAGGGCGGTTAAGTGTTTCTAGTTGGAAAGTCGTCTCTGTTTTTCCTGTTACGTCCCGCCATCAGTCAGAAGCTTTACCCGTGTTTTGTGCCAGGCACAGCCTTACAGTTTGTCCTTCACGGAGAACGTCGGTGCAGCAGCACCATAAGTGCCACATCACCAGGTGGCTGACAAAGCAGCAAACCACCTCAAGAGCAGGAGGATCACCCCCAAGGACCAGCCCGCAGGCAGCCACCCACCTTTGGCATGGGCCTGGCCAGCACCATTGCAGTCACTGCACCAGCAGGGCACAGCGCATCGGGGAACACACCACATGGGTGGGCTCCGTCCTCTGTGTGCAGGCTTATGGTAAGCACTGTGACCCCAAAATGTCTGCTTGGGGTCAGCTGGCCTGGGGCAACGCTGAGGGGGCTGTGTAGGTGGCGATGGTACAGGGCTTACCCCATCAAACTTCTTTGTGGATGTGGGCCTACTGCCAACAAACCAGACAACAGGGAAAAGCATCTATTTCTCATGTGATGAAAGTCGCTGTATTAAGTGAATTATTTGCTATTAAAATATCTGAACAGCTCCCATTCTCAAAGTGCTCTGGCCATCTCTGGTCAGAGGTTGAACTCAGATTCCTCATAGACAGACTCAAGAGAACTACTAGAATAACAACAGTAGCAGCTAAACAGCAGATTTTGTGTACTAAAAAAATCCCAAATGTAATCATATTCTGAGGAGGCAACTTCAGATTATGCTCATGGGTGTAAGAAGTTTTTACATCATCTTTTGAGAAGATCACCATAGCTGAAACTGGTTGTCCTGTGCCATTGGAAAAAATGGCACTTGAAATGTCAAGCAGAAATTTTTTTTTTTTTCTTTTCTGAAACAAAGATACAGCAGTTTGCCAATTGTATACAAATTTGGAAGCGCTTTTATAACTGCAGACACTTTTTATAAAGATTTGACCAGCCAGAAGAACAAAATCCAGAGCTGAGTTCAATATACCAGGCTGATTAAAGGTAACAAGAGCAAGCGATATAAGCTGAGTACAAATGAAGTTAGACTAAAAATGAAGAAAAAAAGGTTTCTAACCCCAAAATAACAAAGTTGTGAAAAAGATTCTTAACAGGAATGGGGATGAAGAATGGGAGCAGAAGATCCTTTTTATTTTAAGATGACCAGAACGGTCTGCACATTAAGATTGTTTCTCACCACTGGTGACTGCTACACAAAACAGGTGCTGCTTCTAGTCTTCTAGTTTTACATCCGTTGTCTCCATTTAACAAAGAATAAGAAGTGATTTTTTTTTATTGTTATTATTATTATTATTTTAAATCTTAGCCATGAGGTCAGTGTTGCTGCTATCAGCTTACTCTCTTAGCATGGACAAGATGTTCTTCTTACGTATGCACTTCTGGTCTCAAATAGCTATGGCAGAAATGGGGAAAAAAGACAAAATATGGCAACAAGCATGATCACACATAGAAAAACAAACAATGTGATAGGCTAAGACTCTACCTTCTGGAGATGGGATAGTTGAGGAGGTAAGCCAGAGGTCCCAGATGATGGAAGCAGGAACCAGAGCAGGGTCAAGTGTTTGCCACGCGTCTTCCACTGCAAGCACTGGAGGAATGCAAAGGATCCAGAAACAAAAAACACACTAACATATGGTCCTCCACAGAAAGCCCCTGGCACTGCCTGCCCAAGGACACTACCAGTATCAGCATCTGTGGGCCAACAGGAGGTTCAGCCAGCACCAGCTCAAGTAGTTCCCTAATCTGAAAAAGCCATCGTCAGGGAAGCTGTTAGGGAAAGTACAATATTTACATGCTGTTCTTATTTCTCCATAGCCTGCTCATGCTGCTGCTTTAAAAAGGCTATTGGGCTGCAGGGACCTTCAGCCTGGCTGCTCTGATTTTTTCCTTCCAATTTTGTTTATAAGACTGTGGGGGATGATTCAAAAGCAGCTTCTGAAAGGAAGAAAGATGGCTGGAGAAAGCATGGCTAGATTTGTTTTCCTTGGAGAGCAGCCATATGTAAATAATATAATTAGTTCTGGAAATGAGGAGCGTGACTTAGCTGTGCTCCCAACCACCTTCTCCTCAGTTCAGTCTTTGACACCTTTCCAGGGAAATAGCCTGAAGTCATGGGAAATTTTCTGATTCTCCACCTTCTGCAGAGAATCACCGACAGCAGTCTGTTTTGTCTAACTGCACTTCAGGTCCTCTTGCAACAGTCTAATCTGCAATGAACTTTTTTTTTTTTCCCTCCCCTTTTTGGCACAGAATGAGAACAGATCTGTTAACATTCAGAAGTGGTCTTAAGGCTTTTATGTTTTCAGCCTGGATTAGAACACCTCAGAGAAACACCACGTAAGAACTAAGCTCTTGCCAATAATTGCACGCTCTAGGCTAGATGTAGACCACTGCAATACAGTAAATGTGATGGCAGACAATATAAGACAGAGAGGATCTGGATGTTTTCTCCTCCTCATACCTCCCCACGAATTCATAATTAAAAAAGACTGCATCATACTGCAAAGAGAAACACTGTATCATCTGCCTTAGTTTGTTACCCCAAACTTATTAAAAGTTCATAAAAATCTAGCACAAGGAATGTATCACAGGATATACAGTATTTCCAGTTTGATCATTTTTTACTCAACATAAAGGGAAAGCTGTTAGCCAATATAGAAAATTAATGCTATAAATAATTCCAGTGATGTCTTAGTAAGAACAGGAACATTTTAATTGCCTTCTGGCAGTTTTGGATTACACTTCACGCTGCACCACATCTGTGCTCCACAGATGTCTAAGTGCAGAGCTTTCTTCCAGTGGCTAACAGTCGTGGAACAGTTGGTGGGGGTGTGTGTGTGTGTGTGTGTAAAATCCAGGGCACGCTTATAACAGCCTGGTGCTACAGGGGTGTAATATTTGTCACGTTAAATAACAATCTATATTTTTGGGAACGTAACATGGCAGTAGTCAGAGCATCTTTTCAACAACCCATTTGTAAAGACCAAAACCTACTTCTGTCACCTATTCTCACACTGTGTCTGCTGCTACATTGACATCTCTGAATAATCCACTACAAGCAGCATCCTTCTTACTGGATGAGCGGAGGGACGGCAATGGGCGTACTCTTCTTCATTCTGCCCTTCTCTAGCAGATCTCTGTGGTGCAGCGGTTATAACCCAGTAGGGATTTGGCTCAAAGGTTAGCCCTATTCTTGCATTGTTTCACATGATTTTGAAGAGTCTCTGTTTTTGAAAAGGCAGTTGAGCAAATAAAATGTATAAAGCTATTGAGAAGCTGGAAGGCAAGTAGGACTGGCAAGATTAGTGCTGAGGATTTAAGTCATTGTTTGAATAGTTTTTGATGTTGTATTCAGCTGTATAACTCTCTATCCTTGTTTTGAAATAAATTAAAACATTTGTAGAATTATCCATCTTACCAACACTTCTCTATCGACATGGCTCTCTGCTATAGCCATTATGATTTTCCCCTGGGAGGAGCTAGCTTGATAGCTTGCTAGTTTGAGTTAAATGACTTAAATGATAAGTGGCATTTTGTTCTCATTACACTAAGAAAAGTCAATCAATATAAAGCACATCAATGCATTAATGTAAAAGCAGAAACCAAAGAAAACTGATATTAAATGGAAATTTAGAATCCATTATATTGAACACTACAACTCAATTTCCTGAACTAGAGTTGACAAACCACCAGTAAATGTCCAGTAGGGAATAGTTCTGCCCTGATTATACTGACTAGATGATTGAATAGGTCTTTTCCTTCTCTAATACCTATGAACATACGAAAATCAATGGCAGCCCACTTAGTGAAAGTACCTTCCCTCCTCTGCTTCAGACGCATGGTTCAAGCTCCCTTTGCGAAACAACACCAAAAGATCTGGTGCACCTCACTTGTTGGGGTGCACCCCGTACAGGAGCTCTGGCCACCTCCTTTCTCACAGTGGGGCTTGATCAAAGCAGGAGAGGGAGTGCCACTAGCAAACTTGTCCCACAGGAAAGCTTCTCCTCCATTTGGGTGCCTCGACAACATGGCTGAGGACTATGCCAGAGAGACTTGCTATGTGAACCGATCCAGCTTGGTTTTCTGCCAGTCACACTGTCCTGCAGGCTGCAAAAAGCTTGCACCTGAGGAGTAGATGTGGACACCTCTGTATTTCCAAGATTTGTTTGCAATTCTCATCTCTGAGCTGTCATTTCATTTAATTTCCAGTAGATGCTACTCTACTCTAGATGCTAGCCATAGCCAGTAATCACTCCTTCCCTGAATGCCAGACCTTTACAGCAATGCTTCTCTGAGCATTTTCAGAATACAGGAAAACAGTCTTTCACCATCAAAATTTGATCAATGGTATGAAAATGATTAATTAGCAAGAGAAAAGGAAGGAGCAGGGGTAGGAGTCAGATCCTGTGATATTCCTGCTTAATGAAGCCCATGCTGAAAGGCTAATAAGACAGGACTGGATTCAATAATTTAAACACATTTTGGTAAACAAATGCAAGAATACGTGAAATCACATTATGCATCAGCAGTGCTGGTAAAAAGCAAGGATGCGTATGTGAGAAGCAATGAGACCTTGTTCAATAGTGAAATAAGGGAAAATGGAATAAAACATCCTTTGAGAGGAGTCTTTATGAATATAGTATACACACAAATTTGGCCACAAATGGTTTCGTGTTCCTGTTTACAATACTTAACATTATTTGCACAGCTTCTTTTTGACTGATTTTGACATATTTCTCTGCTTTTCTCAAGAAGAGCATGTGGCAGAATCCTTTCCATCACAGAAAGGGATATAGGTGCCTTTGTGAAGTCTTTTGAGGTGAAAAATATAATTTAGCTTAAAAAAAAAAAATTAAAAAAATTGTTTCTAAGCTTTTTTAAGCCATGCGTTCATTAGTGCCCTGTGCCTAGGGCACCAAGGCCTGCCATCCATTACGAAGCACAGAAAATCTCCTCATCCAAGCTGGGCCAAGGTAAATTCCTTACCAGAATTTGCGTTCATGTTACTTGTCACTGTGCATTTTGCATGCTTGTGCTGGAAGCACTCGGATGATAAAGCCTGGCAGCAGGTGTCCCACATACAGCCAGTCCAGGGCACTGCTCCCTGTGACAAGAGTGAGGGCATTGAATTTACATGAGATCCTTGCACCAATATCAAACCCCCGGTGGGACAGAGACCACCAGCACCCACACGCAGACATCCCCATTCAAAGCTCTCGCCCTCCACAAGGCATGAATGCTGAGAGATGCTGGGGGGTCCCTGCTGCCCAGGGGCTTGTCCCAAAAGCCAGTACCCTCAGGCACGATGGCCATGCTCCGAGCAGCACGTCCCCTCCCGAGCCCCAGCTGGGAGCCAATGCTCCTGCCGCACGTCAGCTGAGAGGCTTTCAGGAAGAGGGACAGACGCACGCCGACTGATAAAGCAACAGAAATTCCGTGAAATTAGCAAAAAGGAAAAAAGAGAATGAGGATGTGTAGCTTCAGACTATAATTAGCCAAGTCTACTGTGAATATTAATGAATAACGCTGAGCAGCAGAGTTTTGCCAACACTGAGTATTTCTATAGCGACTCGTCTACAGAAGTCTTTGCCACTTTTTTTTTTTCTCCCACTGATACTTTCAGTAAATTTTAAAATAAGTGGCAGCATTAAGTTAATCTTTTATTTAGCTAATAGGAACAGGTTGCATTAGAGCTTTCCTGGAATAAATGTAAGTGTACTTTAAACTGAACACATAATGGCAAATCCACATTCAGCTGGGAACTGCACTAAATACAGCTTTGTCAAATCTTGAGCTTTTATTGCAAGTGTCACATTATCTGACCTTTTTCTTAAACCTCTAGTTACCAGAACCGTGTTATTATGTGAAAATCTCAGCTTTTACTGGGGGAATAAAGGTTTCCAGCTCCGATGGCTACAGAGAAAATGGCAATTCCAGAGGCTCCTGCAGAAAATGAGAGGTACCTAAGCATTAACTGCTAGAGAAAAGATAGAGGAGCTTCAGCTCTGTGCTTTAGGCACCCATAACTATGGACATTACAGGTGGTGTGGCTGTGTGGGAAGACACACTGCCACGTGCCGAGGGGGCAAATGATCCAGTCGCCCCCTTTTCCTGAGCAGCCAGCCCATGTGGCCCCTGCCCCAAGCTGGAGGAGGGTGTTCACATGCATCACCACGAACCTGGGCTTCAGCCCCGCTCAGTAATGCAGGTGAAGTCTCCGGAAGGCATTCAATTCTACTGAGCTGGGATTAATTTAACTGCAGCAGTGTTATTTGTGCACCCAATAACCTTTTAACCCCAACATCTCAGGCAAGGCTGTCACCTTGCTATGATAAGTTGGCTTCCTTCCTCGCCCTCATCAGCTCTGTTCATCTCCACCACGCTGAGCTGCGGGCCTCCCCCGCCTGATTCCCCAGACGCTTTGTTTCTCGTTTGAACTTTAGCTGCTTGAAGGATAATGTCACAAGCAATCACTGCAGTGGCAAGCCTGGCAAACAGGATGCTGTTGCTTTGCATAAAAGATCATCTTTATTGAACGCGTTGCGTGGGAACCTTAATTCAGCATCAGGAGAGATGACTACAAGAGCCTCCTAGACTGCAAAGCGAGTACACATCAGGCACCGCTCGCAGTCGAGAGCTACAACACACATCCCTCCATGCTGCAGAGGTTTCTCCATGGAGCACAGCCTCCACGGCACCATGCCCGCCACTATGCACCGGGCCTCCTGCTCTCCCCGGCTTTGCAGCCAGCATCGCCAGACTGCCTGCCCCCAGCTGGGACTTGAGACATCCCTGAAGTGGGAGCAGATCCTGCAAGCCTCAAAAGGTTAAGGTTGCTTCAGCCTCCCTGGCTGGGCTACCCACATTGCTTTCACCTCCTGCCAACCACAGCACTGAGTGCCTCTGTCACCCAAAAGCAAGCACTTCCCTTGTAAATGCTACACTTCCTCGTTGCAGCACTGGGAAGGCAGATGCAAGAACTCTCATTTGTTTTAAACGAGAGTTGACATGCCAAATGAAGAGAACATGGCCAGCCCTGCCAGTACCTTACAGCAAGACTTGGGCAAGTCTCTTGAACACTCCTTGCCAAGCTCGCCTGACCATAAAACACCCGCATACCCCGCAGCGGTGTTCTACAGACAACTGTAATTGAGGAGCACGGAGGACGACCTGCTCCAACAGGGAAGAGCATGATTACTTATTGATGCTCTCTTCCACATCTTGTGTTTTCCACAGCCCATCATTCAGCTGGGAAAGACCCAGGATGCTGCAGTTGTGAGCTCTTCCCCTCCGCACAGACGGTAACCTAGGTGATATGCAAACATCTGCTCCACCAGGAAAGGGCTTTCCTCCTGCCTCGCTCGTCCCTGCCCAGGCACAAACCGTGGCGGTAATTAGGAAGGGCCAGAAACACTACTCAAAAGCTGAAAGCAAAATATGAGAGACTGCAGCAGTTCCCACACAACCGCATAGCTAAATAAGAAAAGATTAGTAGAGAAAAGTAATCTCTTAAAAGGCCAACTAATCCATTAGGAAAAGCAAACACGCACTTATTATTTTCTCCATTTTCCTGAAAATGTTGTTAGTGCTGAAGCGATGCTCTGCCACGTTCTGCAGTGTTTGTGCAAGACGTTAACTCTCAGGTGATAAATGAGAAACTGAGACAGACTTTTCCAGAAAAATAGAAGAGATCAGCCCTATGCCTCAGGTACGCTATAATTAAGCCATCCATTACAGCACGCACCATCTAAAACCCACAGGGATGGTTTTTTGCTTTACAGGTGGATGCGGCATAAATAACGTCCCTTGTACAATGCCTCCACCATTGGTTTTAATTGATTGCTGCATCGATTGTGTGCACACATATGGTGGGGGGGTCTCCAAAAGGATTTTCATAACTGGTCATAGCACTCAGAAAAGCAACATGTGCTCATGGTTTATGAGAATCTTCCCTGTGTTGCTCTCTGTTATCCCAACACCTCTCGCCCCCAAGCAGCCGGTGGCTGAGCCAGCTGCCTTCTGATGCTGAAAGCTGGGGGAAACGGGTGGTGATACGCACCTGGGCACAGCCTGGGGAGGGCTTACACAGCAGCTCCACAGCCAGGCTGGAGGAAACTGCCAGACAGGTAGCCAGCACGTCAGGAATCCCAGATTTGGGCTTTTGAGTAACAGATTGCTGAGCGCCCAAAGAACCAGAAATGTCAATTCTTTTATAGCAGCTGCATTTTTTTTTCTTTTTTAGCTCCAGTTTCTATAGATATCTCAGACTTTGAGGAGCGGTGCGAAGCGAGCGCCGTTGCACAACCGCGCGTTAGGGACGGCATTTCAGCGTGGGGGCGTGGGTGGGGACGGCAGCTCGCACGCACAGCCCGGGAGCCCCAAAGGATGTCGTAACAGCTACGCGGGGAAAACATCTGCTCCTCGCTGCGGTGCCTCCATTTCAGGCACCGGCAGCATGCAAGCACGAACAAGCCCCGAGTGGAGGCCACTCACATCTAAACCCCCACATCGGGCTCACGGCCACGGTGTCTGACTGCTCCGGGGCCTCCTGCGTGGCCTCCCCCTGACCCGATTCAGACCACTTCCCCTAGGAAGTAGGCCCCAATATCTGCAGGAAGGGAAGGCACAAAGCACCGGGCCCTGACCAAGGGGTCCCATCCAAGCACCAGAGCACAAGACCGCATTTGCAGGATGTGCCAAGCCCCACGCAGAGGAGGACCAAGGGGCCTCACTGTGAGATGCTGCAGCATTTGCTTGTCAGGCCAGAAACAACGTCTGGAGCCCATATTTTCCTTCACTTCAAGCTTCAATTGCGCTTGAGGAGTCTACAGTCTTTGACAGAGTTTTATTTTTTGCAGGGGGTGGGGTGGGGTGTATTTTGAACAGCCTTTAAATACCCTGCGGGTAGGAGTACTTCCAGTTTTGGCATGATGCGTGCATTCTGATAAATGAAATCAACCTACAAAGTGGACCTTTGCATTGACGACCAATACAGCGTGTGTCTGTGCTGGTGACTCACGCAGCCTGTCATATTTTTTGTTTTGTTATTTAATGTATAGTTATATTTACACCACAAAAATATTTATATCGTGGATATTTTAACATCAACGAACAAATACTTGGAAATACGCATTTACGGAAAGGATATTTTTGCGCTTTGTGATGCTGAAATCTTTATAAATTAATTTTTCAAAACATTTTGAGGCATATGTTGCTCACCTCAGAAGAGAGAAAACTATAGGGCAGAAGCACTGCTGAGATTTTTGCATGCTTTTCTCTGAGCATGCTAGAGATATCAATGCAATTAGTTAATAATGCAACCCTGGGCACGCCATCCTTGTCCAAACAGCATCGTGAGCTGACCAAGTCCTGCCACAGCCGGGTACAGGAGCACCTGCCCTGTTGCTGCTGGGGAAGGTCTGAGGCATCTCAGCACAGGCAGCAGCAGTCAGTACCAGGGGAGAGAAATTTCTCCAAAACCAAACCAGCCAAGTCCTGTGACACTGCCTGACCCAAGAGGGGTCCCTGGGCCGCGTCCTCCTCCCCATACGCTCCTTTTGCCTGGAGCAAGCCTACGAGGTGTGAATCCACAGACAGCACTGGGCCACAAGGGCTGGCCAGCAGGGAGCAGGAGGTTTTTTGTCTGCAGTTCACTGTTGTGCTTTAAACAGCAGGCCCTGCGATTCACGGGGTGCCTCCTGCAGCTGATCCGGGCTGTGGCAGGAAGGCTGCCCCCTCATAACACAGCTGCTTGGCAGAGCCGGCAGCCCTCTGCCCGGGCAGCCAGCACCATGCCATCAGTGGCCTGCTCCCCACAGGGACACCAAGCCACCAGCGCTGTGACGCTTCGTGTCCCGCTCTACCAGCACACAACAGAGGCTTTCAGAGCACTGCAGGCCCCTGAGGCAGACCTGGATGGGAGTCACAGCGCTGAGTGGGGCCGCCAGGGGCCTGCGCTGCCTGGTGCCAGGTTAAAAGCCCTGGCTGGATCAGGCGCCTTCGCTTCAAAGCCGAGCGGGGACTGCCGGCCAGCCACACAGCTGCAGCACATCTGCCTGGGCGCGGGGCTGGGCCGCCAGCAGCCTGCTGCAGACAGCAACCAGCAGCACCCACAGCAAAACAAAAGAGACAAAATTAATGGGAAAGCAGAGCCAGGGAGCTTGAGCGTGCCCGAGGCCAGGCACCAAGTCTGTGGCAAAACCAAGGCACCACTGATTTCTCATCCCCACGCGATTCACAAGGCGAGCGGCATTTCCAGTGCGTTTATGTAAATCCAAAACAGACCGCCGGCCTGGCTTTAATTTTCCAGAAAGCCGACCTCGCACAGCTTGGGAGTGCAGAGGCCAACCCAGAAGGCATAAGCGATGCACGTGGCTGCTCCCCAGCCCCATGGAGAGCTGAAGCGCCCTGCCAGTGCCAGAGCCCCAGCATGGCAGCAGCCTCCCGGGCCAGGCAAGGTCCTAAGCCTGTACTGGAGGCATGAGCACCACTGAGTGGCTTGGGCCCTGGTGCCAGCACCGCCAGCCACCACGGATCTTTCTCACTGTGCTCTGAAAACACAGAAACACGTCTTTAAGAAGCCCACACCAAAGGAGACCACTGCTCCACCCTGGCCTCCGGCAGCAGCCAGAGCTCTTCCAGCCTCCACCAGTCGCATCTCAGGGACTTCCCAGTCAGAAACCAGCACTGTGCCCAAGGGCTCCTGCTAAGGTCATTCCCTGTTCCTTCTTCATGCCTCCCACTTTCATAGAGTAGCACAGGTTGGAAGGGACACACAAGGATCATCAAGTCCAATTTGGCAGGCACAGTCCTCTTCAGAGGCAGGATTATTCTCTGTGATCAACATAAATTGTTTTATTTAAAGGAGAAGAAAATTAAGACTCATGGAAATATTCAGAGATATCCAGGCATGCAGCTTTGTTCAGAAATGCTCAAACATCAGTGCGTAGGTGGTCATGTCGGGAGTCTTGCACCAAACTGTAAATTATACAGTAGCATAATTTAATGTGCTGCAGATATTGCCATGCGTAATACCTGACACATACTTTATATGGGATGTTGCACCAGTTCTTAGAAACTGCAGCTATCTGCTGTGTTATGAAGCACGTAACTGAGAGTACTGCGGTCCTCAAGGGGAATTTATGACGTGGCTGTTGCTGAGGTAATGCACTGCAGACCCCTAAAGTCATCTCGAGCTACAGGAACGCTTTATTTTAGCATCTCCTCTCACAAACTTCCTGCCTTGAAAGTTCAAGCAAGGCTTTAGGTTGTCAGCCCATGCACTGTATTATTTTCAGTGACAGGCAGAGCTAATTAGCTTGTATAGTGATTGTGTGCACTACTCTACCCTCATTATTTCTAGCCTTGCCATGCAGGCAACAATTACGACGCCGTAAGGACACGCAGAGCTATGCCTGGAATCTGTTGAACTCGGCAGAGGTGCATGCCGGAGCCACACTGCACCTCCATGAAGGGTTTACAAAGAGGTCTCGCGTGCTTGCCTTCCTTTCCTCTGCCCCAGCAGCTCCTTCCCAGCCAGCCCAGGGGGAGCAGCCCCTGTAGATCCCACAGGAGTCAGCACCCAGCTGCTGTCAGGACCTCAGTGCACCCGGCCATGTCATGGCTGGCAGCTCAGCAGGGAGCTAAAGGCCACAAATGTTCAGGAGAGCACGCGATGCAGCGTTTTCTCCCAGTAGCCTCTTCTGGGTGTTTGCCCTAGTTCCCCATGGAAAACAAAGCAGGGTGTAGTTTCACACCGCCAGGTATCGCTTTCCACATTTCATTAGACAGCTAGGTGACAGCAAGGCTTCTGAAGATATGAACCTAGCACGTTCCTCTGGAGGTGCTAGGAGAAGCCTATGGGTTGTCAGAATCCTAACATTGGGTCCCCTAGACCTTATCATGTCTGGCAGTCAGTTAGCACAAACTTGTTTTACACACGCTTCATTTCTATCCAAGCCCTATGCAGCCAGGAGAGGAGAGCCTCCTGTACCGTCTCCTACAGCAGAGTCCCCTCTGTCTCCAAAGCCGTGCCCTCTGCTGCTGGGGCAGCTCCCTGATGGGCACAGCAGCTGCCAGCACAGCTGGGTGAATACATCTGGGCTTACGGCCCTGAGATGCAAAGCGAGCATTGCACACCAGCACAGCAAGGAGTGGATGTGTAAAAGAAAAACCGCAAGGTGATATGGCTGTTGGGAACAGTCATACTGAGGCTGCTTACGACTCTCTTCTGCACCTCTAAGGATTATAAGAATGGTCAAGGTCATCTAACCCACATCAGCTTTAAGACTGATATTGGTTTGAAGTGAGAGAAGTGTCCTAGAGATGGGGAGGTGGAAGGCGATGTGATGTTAGAAGAAGCAAGCAGAAGCCACCAGTGCCCTAGGGTGTTGCTGCACCCAAGCACTAGCAGGGACCTTCTGCCAGCAGCCACATCTGCATCTACACCAGGATGTCTACATCCAGGTAGCTGGATCCAGCCTTCTGGAGCAGCTGCTCCTACAGGAGCAAAAGGATATTAGTTTGGGAGGTGATGAAGTATTTTTTTTCTTGCTTCATTTTAAGAAATAATAATAATAAAAAGCTGCAGTTTCAGCAGGAACAGGAGTTGTTTGTGTGCTGTTGGTTCCAGTAAAAGATGCCCATGCTTCTTGTAGCCAAGCAGGAGTAAGCACACACTTTTTGTTGCTTGCTCCCACTCCAGCAGAGAATTGGCCGACACAGGTGCAGCTGTGCAGTCTCTTAGGGAAAGAGGAGGCAGTGGCAGCAGCACTTAGGAGGTTGCTGTCCTGCATCACATCATCTGTGCTTCACTTTTGCTAAGGCCCACGAGAATCTCTCTCTTTATGTTTCTCAACGCTCTCTCATATGTCCCTGCATTCAATTTCTCAGCTGTACCGGTTTGGACATGATTACGTGTATTCAAGTGAGAACAGAAAGCAGAACTGGAAGTGGCATAGCCTCACTGGGCTATTTCCTGAATTCAAATGACAAAGTTGGCAGCACTAACTATTTCTGTAACACAAACATGACTGTATAGACTTTACATTGTCTTTAAATAACAGATTCCCAAGACTGGAGTCCAAATATAGTGAAGCTTCCATTAAGGAACGCGCCGGGGTTAGAGCAAAAATGAGTTTCCCAGCAGAGTGGTCTTTAGTTAAAGGTCAGAAAAAATTATAATTGGAAACCTTATTAGGGTAATTTAAGATACTTGGTGTAGATGCCAGTTGAAGGAATATTTAGTGCAGTAAGTACCTAAGCACTTATCCAGAGTCTGAGTCCTTTAAAAGGTTGTTACAACCAATGTAACGCAGTAGGAGAAGATAGCCTAGCTTACGTATGTGAACTCCAGCTTTAACTTTTAAATTCCAGTACTTTATAGTCTTAAGCTAGACCAGACCTTTTTTTTTTTTTTTTTTAATTAAAGTTTTAAATAAACGTGGGAGGGGGTTGGTACAAGGCAGGGAGTGGTCCAGCAGGGAAGCACCTGCTGCATGGTGCCATGAGGTGCTGCTTCCAAAGCTGTCCCGGCAGCAGCACCCACTGCCTCACCCAAGGGGCTGCTCCTGCCACATGGATCCAACCCTGCTTGAGCTTCTGTATGAAGGGCATTTATTGCAAGCCAGCACCACCAAGCCCAGTGGGCTGTGTGGAAGGCGAGCACTGCCTGCAGCTCCCAGCAGCAGAGGAGCCCTTGTTGTCCTCCTGGGCAGGGAACAGGGATCTGCAGCAGCAGAGGGGCTGGTTCCTACCTGTGGGCATACTGCCCTCCCAGAAATCTACTGAAAACATCCCTTCCACTGCAACAGGCACCTGACTAGAGCATATGGCATACAACCGTGTAACTCACATCCCTGGAGATTGCCTGTGCAGAGGGTTTTGTGACTGGACATCAGTACCTGCTCTCTCTGCACCCTGGATACCAAATCCTCAGCAAGCTGAAGTCACAGAGAGCCAACACTATAGCAGCAGCCCTGCCAACAGGGAACCAGCAGCACCAACAGCTAGCTTGCTTATATAGGTATTTGTGGTTTTGGTACAGACCCCTGAAAGAACAGATCAGGTCACAGACAAGCTTCAGCAACTCACCCTACGGACAGCAAAGGAAAAACCAGCAGCTGTGTGTAGTTGCTTTCAACAGAACATTGGCGTAACAAGCAGCAGCTTACCTCTGGGTGCTTTCTGCCTCCATGTAACAGGATGAGATTTAAAAGACTTGATTTCCAGAAGCATCTCAATTTCCACAGCTGAATCCCAGTCTTTCTTTTGTTGCCTGGAAAAGTTGGACCTGCTCGTGAGATCTCCAGGCATTTCTCTCCCAGAGATGTAAAAACAAAACAAATAAAAAACCCCACCAACCAAATGAAAAAGCCCTTTCAATTCAACTCCGGTGGTTTATAACAATACCACAGTCTTTAGCTACCCTAAATGGTAGCAAGCCTTTTGTAAAAAACAAACACAAAAAGCAGTTGAGAAAATCTTTTCCTCTCCCACTGCAGAACTTTCCCAACTTTAAAATTGCTTCCCAAGGTGTAGCCTTGCAGCTGTTTATATTTACTCCAAACAAGCACATTCATTCCCTTTTCATTTTAATTGCCCTGCCAGAAGGTATCTTCTGAATGAGATCTTAATTAGGAGAAGTAGCCTGTGGAAGCAGAGTATTGGATCCACCTGGGACAAATTGAGATAAATGTCCTCACCTTCTCATTGCACTTTAATGGTGCCTTGATATTCTGTTCAAAAATCTTCTTTTACTGTTTGCCATTGCTCTCTGGCTGAGCAATTTAAAAGCCTAGCTTTTGCTCCAAGTGATGACAGCTATGGAAACACCTCTTCCTTTCCCCTCCCAGATTGTGCATGGGTACAAAGCGAAGATTCAGTAGAGCCTATGCATGGACTGTCAGCTCCTGCGTCTTCCCCTATACCTCAAAGAAGGATTTTAGGGTGCCCCTTTCCTTCCCTGGGTACCTGTGCCAAATGCTTAACAGCAAAATAAGCCAAAACAGCCTCCCCCACCTCTCTCTGTTGCCGTCTTGGGAAGAGGGCCGGGGGCTGGCGGGTGTTTGCCAGGGAGCCCGTGGCAGAGGCAGCGAGCTGCTGGGGGGGCAGCTGCCGCAGCAAGGAGCCAACACGCTGTGCTGGGAGCACGGCCCCCTTGCTCCCTCCAGCAGCACCCTGCGCGCCTCTCACTGCTGCTGGGGGCTTTCTTTGAGACAGCAATAGCCCAAGCGATGTGCACGCGTGTGCATTTAATATAAACGAGAATCTGCAAACGCACCATTTACTAGGTTCTTGCGGAGGCATTGCTGGCACTGCTCTCTTGGGAAATTCACGGCAACAGCATTTCCAAAGGGAGTTTGGGTTTGTGCTCTTTTTTTTTTTTTTCCGCTTAAGTTCTATGAAAGTCTTCTATTCATCATGAAGATTTATTGATTGTTCTCGGAGTTTGGGATAATTAAATATGCAAAGGCTTGACAGCTATCGTAGAGCATATTCTTTTAGCAATGCTAACAATACATTAAATCCAAGGAATTCCACTCTTATTACACTGTGGAGGACATAACTAAGTTCAGCGTACTGGATATAAATATCCATGACGCCACTTAAATATCAAGTACATGCCTAGACTACAGCTATGGAAGTTGTGTTTCACTTCCTCGTTAGCTATTAATGTTAATGACCCCCCAACTCCCTTCCATTGTGCTCATTATTTCATATCTGAATAAAATCATTTACATTTGTCATTCGTGGGTTTTTAGTCTCATGAGGACTTACGGGCTAGTACTACATTGTGCTGTGAGTATCCCCAAGTTTTGTGGAAAGCAAATTCTTGCCACCCCTCCCCTCCCGCTGCTAACTGTCCCGCTATGAAACAGGTGGCTATCTGCCCTCCAAGTGAGATTTTATTGCTAAAATAAAGTAAAAATTGTTTTAAAACAAAGAACACACATCTTTATAGTAAAACTCAAGTTTGTTTTACAATTAGAGAAAAGAGTCACATGGTCCCCCAAAAAACCCCAAGTTTTATATATATTTTGAAAATATATTTAAAAACATAAAAAACTCTATAGTTAAACATATATTATGTTAATCAGTACACTTAAATATAGCTTAATTATATTTACAATATGACGCAGTTGCTTTTAAATTTTAATGCCAATTTCAGTTTTTCCCAAAAAACATAAAATTATATAAATATACAATAAATATTTATGTTACACAAGGTGAATAGTAGAGAACAAGGCCACAGACATGAACTTACATTTGCAAGAGTCTTTACTTTAACACAGCACTAGGCCTGCTGACATGCATGATATACCTTTGTCACAAACAGACCACAGCAAGATTTTAATTAAGTGACATGAACGAAAACCAACCCCCCACCCAGCCATCACCCCCCAACTCTGTTTAACTAAAACTCCCGAGCCTGCGATCATGTACGTAGCGGGTCGGGCAGGTGAGAGTCATGGGACTGCCTTTAATTGCCAGTTTCACCTTATGGATGTTGAAAGCATCAATCAGCATATAAGTTGCGTGTTACGGGAACACACTCTAGAAGTAGTTAGATGTCGTTCTGTATGTTCTCAGCTCCATCCTTTAGTTCTCCCAACCTGCACGGGCTGCACTTTACCCCTTTGGGTGTATTTTAAAGGAATTATTCCTGCAAGGCTCCTCACACCACAGTCAGCGAATGGGCAACGGGGAACAGGAGTAGAAACCTCATCAGGTGGCTTTGCTGCTAAAGACAGAGTAGAGTAGAAGCCACTTGTTTTTCATGCTTTAATATACTAGCATTTGTATTCCCTGGTCAAAAAAAATATATATAAAAAAATGGTTTTCTCCATTTTGTATTTGAATGGAGGCCATCATTTTGAGTTAGTTTAAATACCAAGCTATTCTACGAGTAGAACTATTTATTTTACTCATCTAGAAAGTCAATGGCACAACTTGAACCTACCATCCAACTGTTTGAATTCTGTAACACCAGCGACGCTCTCACCTATTCCAGGTGAGGATGACTGAGTTAAAGATATACCACCATTAACTTGGTGAAATTAGGAACTTTGTTTCTGGCATGATTTAGATGTTAACACTTCTTTTAGCAATTCAATTTATTTGAACTGGAAATTACTTTATTCATGTATCTGATTGAGACTACCATTATGTCCTAGCCACCGTTTCTTTTTTCCAGTCTACATGATCTGTTTGGTATTCACTCATTAGCATCATCCTTTCCCCTTCCTAAACAACAAAACCTAGTTTTCAGTGGAGCTACCATTACACCATCTCTCTGCAGTAGTTTAGAAACACTGCTGAGAATAGCGCCTTAGTAACGTTTGGGTCATTAAAGGCAAAGAGTAATACACAGACAGGTACTGGCTACAGCAAAATGAAATTCTCCTTTGCTCTAATGTCCAGATTGCATAAAAAATACTTTGGCTAAAGTTTTGAGGCATTTCAATACAATATTCTTCTGCCTGATTTTTATGTGGGAGCCTACATACCTATAATTAATTTCCAATGGTTCAACCTTGAAGTTCTAATGGGTCACCTAACCTTGCCTTCTCATTTATGGTCAGTGGACTCGCAGCCACTACAGAAAGTTCAGAAAGTTTCCATTTTACAGTTGGGATGGCTCTACTTTGACAGTCCGCTAAATTGAAAAGGGAGGTCCTCGTACTTTAAGTAGAAGAAATCACTAGTTTTGTTAACCTACAGAATTGGTTTCTACTAGGAGGGACATAAACATATTAAACATATTCTTCATAGGTAATACTTGTGGGGGATGATATTCCAAATAAACTTTGCCTAGTCCAAGTTTTAATTAATTTCAACAGAAAGGCGTAACCATTGCAGCTTCTGCAATAGTTACATCTTGCAGCATGTTCCTCTTTGTTCATCTACAGTGATTACAATTATCATATCTGTCTTCAGTCAGCTCACTAACGAGCTGTTTCTGCCTCTCCACCCACTGTAGCCAGCTCAAGTGCTATGCCCAAACTCTCAGGCCTACAACCTGACTTTTTAGTAATACTTCTGTCAGGGTAGTTAGAGCAGCAGCACAGGGATAAGTAAGTTTATCTGTACCAAAGCAGATGTTCAGCCTGCTACTCTAAGCACTTACTCCAAGTTTACTTTTAATGCCAATTTGTTTCATGGAATAAGGCTGACAGGAGGGTTAGAGATGCATTCACATAAATTTTAATTGCTTTCAACCAGAGGCAGGGAATCTTTGGACAATTTTTGCTTCATTCCCCTGCTGTTGCAGAGGGGTCTCTCCAGCACAGATACCACAACTGTTTGTACACTGTGCTCTCCCCCAGCACGTTGAGGCTTGTGGCTGCAGGACACACGCTGGAGCAGAAGGCTGCACTACGTGCATCAGTGCGCAATGCAAAGCTGTTTCTCTCAGGCAGCACGCACAGGACCAAATTCAGTGCTGACTACAATCTGGAGAGCAGCAGTCAAGCCAAAACACTGTTGTTTATCCCTGAACTAAGCTATCTAGTCCCATGACATCCCTCTGCTTCGCTGTAATCATTCCAGACCCTTTTGTATTGACATTCTTGCTGTGCTTCACCAAGACATTTGATCCAAGCCCAGGATCCTGTTACATTACAATCATTGCTCTCAACATTCTAAAGAATAGTTTCTGCATGACAAGCTCCAGTTGTACGGTAAGTGAAACATTTCAAAGATCACCATCCCATTCCTTTGAGAGGGGCATGGGGGGGAACCAAACACAATCAAACATGGTATAAGAAAATGCACGTCTCAAAAGACAGTGACTGGAAAAAAAACAAAACAAAACACCAAAGCATGTTGTCAGACAGTTAAATAAGTGCTGTCTTTAAGCCTGAAGTTCAACAATGTGAAGTGGAACATCACCATTCTTTTTCAGTTGCCTTTTTTTATTTTATTTTTTTTTTGTCAGTAGTTGGATTGCTATTGCAAACACCTCACAACATACAAAAAACAAATTGGTCTTTAATCCAGGATAAGGTAATGATTTTTTATCTTTTTTTTTCCTCTATCTGATGGGAGCTCAAAAGTAAGAGAAACAGTAAAACTATGACAACAGCACCTTGACATTGTTTTAATTCCAACGCTATCAGAAGTTAAAAGCAGTAAACAGATATAATACTAACAAGAATAAAGATACTTACTGTCTAAAATGTAAACGGAATGTTTTGGTTCATTTTTTTCTGAAAGAGGACAGTATCATCAATTCACAATTGAAGCAGCATGCAATTTTATTTTTTATTTTTTTAAAACTTTTTATACTTTCAATTCTTGGCAACGGCGACAAACCACAATGTTATCGAGGAATGTAATGCAGACTTTTTAGTTTGCTTTTTTTTTTGTTGTTTTTTTAAGTTGTGCGCAAATGACTTTTGTTCCCTTTCAGGTCATGGATATGTTCAATAAATAGGTTGTGGAACCACTGTACTGTATAAACTTCAGTTATACATGCAGTCCATAAAATTATTTTTTTTACTGAATAATTTACCCTGTTATGTATATATACAAATAGATAATTTTGTCTCAATATAATCTATACAACACAAATCCACTATCTTCCCCTTTTAATGGTTAATGTACATACACACGAAGTGTCTATTCTTATAAACCGCCAGCCAACTCTCTTCTTGTTATCCATGGTGAGAGCTCTCACGTAAGACTGGGTAGTTCGGCACTGGGAGTTCCAATGCCTCTTGTCTATGCCCCTGCAGCCCTCCTTTGTGTACCCCTT